CTGCGCCCCCCCCCCAGCAGACCAGGGAGACGCGGGCGGGGGACCAAGATGCACCGCGGTCCCGCCACCCGGGTCCTCCGCGGCTTTGCTACGCGTCTCCCTGGTCTGCTGGGGACTCCCTCCCCCCCCCAGCAGACCAGGGAGACGCGGAGCAGCTTTTCTCGCTCTGGAGGATGTGGGCAGCGGGACCGCGGTGCATCTGGGTGGTCCCGCCGCCCGCATCCTCCTGGGCGAGAAAAGGCCCGTTCGTAAGTACGGATCCGACATAAGTCTGATCCGCGTAACTCGGGGACTGCCTGTATTGCAGATTTTTAACAGGTTGATGAAAACTTGTGGTAAAATTTTGAATTTCAGTGGAAAAGAAAAATGGTTAGAAAAATGGTCATAAAAAATTCCCATTTTTGACTAGCTTCAGTTATTATTGGCCATTATATTTTCAAATCCAGCAACACAGAAGAGTCATAACTCTCCCATACACATACACAGAGCATCTCTCATCTTACCTTCTCTCCATCAAGTCCAGGAGGACCCGGCAAACCAATTTCACCCTAAAGAGCATAATCATCACAGGTCATATTTTAAAATAATATTATTCTGCTTCTTTTTCATGGGGCTGGGAAACTGGAAGCTGGGGCTTGTGCTATGGAAACAGTCAACAGCAGTGACTCTGGGGGGCTGAAAGGGTGTAAATGCTTAAGAGACAGGGCTCAAAACTGTCAGACTTTTAAGGTTGAATAACCTTAGTTGTTCATGCTGATTGACAGTTCATGGTCTGAACTACTCTATGACCATGCATTGAGATTAAGTCCAATATGTAGGTGTCTGAAGGAGAGTGGGAGTAAGAAAGCATTTTTCTTCCCTGAGCCAGGACCATGCCTGGTCATTGTGGGAGGAAAGGATTCCAGGAAGTGAGATAGGGAGAAGGCGAAGAAATGATACCCAATCATGTACAGACTGCAAGGAGAAGAAGGACTGCACAATGGGTGGGGTAGGTGGACAAGGATCATAATAGCATCAGAGTTCCAGCCTTTGATTCTCATGCATGTCTAGTTATTTTTTTCAAGAATGACAAAAGGAGAGTGTTACCTTCTGTCCCGGTGGCCCTGGAGGCCCAGCTACTCCTGGGAGTCCAGGAGGCCCCTAAATAAGAAAAATGTTCAAAATAGTATTTTTTTTAAATTGGAGGGAAGTCAGAATTATATTTTCTTTACATTTTTGCACTGGCAATCCTGAAATATATTAATTTGGAAAATGAATAGCTAATAGAGGGCTACTGAATAACCAACAGTAGCAATTCAAAGTCAAGTATGACCACGTATTATTTCTTTACTTGATGAATGAAAATAAAAAAACCCTATGAAAATGGCATTTCTGATTATCTGCTTTCAATAATGAAGTGAATTTAAATAATTATTTGCTCTTGATAATAAATATATTCTACTTCTATCTGGTACCCAAGTAGAAAACATAGATAATAGGAAAAATTTCCTATCTGAGTTCCCCAGTGCAGGTGAAATTTAATTAAGTGACTAAGTATCACACATTTTGCAATGTATAGAAATGATTTATTGATAAAAAAATCTATGGCCAACATTTTCAAAAGTGCCTCAATTTGGGGGTATGCAGCTTAAGACATGCATGTTGTCATAAAGATGGGCATTCAAAAATGGGAGCACTCAAAATAAAAAAGCCACTTTTGAAAGCATTTGCTGATATACAGTTGTAATGATGTGCACATCATCATCTGTTTGCAATGTATTACATTAAAGATCACAGTCTGATGATGGACCTAATTCTTCATCTCATTTTAAATTGCCCTCTTAAGTGGGATTAATATTGATGGCTATCTCCCAGCAGAAACAGTGCTGGGCTATCATACATCCCTGGTATTAGGAAAGGACATGCTTAAGAGAGAAGACTTTCATGGGCCTTGGAAACAGCACAACTTAGCCATTTCTTAACCTGGACTTTCCTTATCTTGGTCCTTCTTAACTGTCAATGCTGCTTTTAAGTGTCAGCACATAATCTCAAAGGCCAGAAATTCTAGTGTTATGGAATTAACAGATGACCAGTCTATATCACTGCCCACTTTAGCTGTTATGAAGACCCAGTTATTTGTTCAAAACCCCCCAAAATGCAGAGTGAAGAATAAGAATGCATCATGAGCACTAAGGTTTATATGTCCTAAAAATTTATATAAATAAATAAAGTTCCCATTTGGGAATTAAATCATTGCTGAATACAGTATTTGTGCCCCCCCCCCCCCCCCCCCCATCCTTATCCACACACACACACAGC